GAAAGAGACAAAAAGAAAACAAGACCAAAGGAAGAAAACTTGATGTGTGAAAATAAAGAAAAATTCAAGTATTGACAATAATAAAGCAAAATACAACAGGAAGACACCACAGAAATATCTACTCCAACAGGGGTGGCCCTGGTGCTATTATTAAAAGTTAAGATTCAACAGGTTTAAATCTTCTGCAGAGGTTTAATACATTTATCATTCATGTATACAGATCATCTCTTTCAGAATGTTATTTGAAATGAGTGGCACTGATATGACTAACTCCTCTAAAAACAGCTTTCAAATGATCTATTTGAAATGCTGGCACTCTCACCACCTACTCTTTTGCAAGCGATTAGCCAAGGGTTAGTAAGCACAATATTTTTACTCATTAGTTGGGAAACTACTCCACATAAATGATCTCGGGGGATGATTTTACTCTCTAGTACACGCTATTGATCCAGTTCCTCTGTAAAAATAAAAGGTCTGCATAATTTCTGCTAGATTAAGGATTACTACATTCTCCCATACTTAGAAAAGGAGTAAAAAACCTTACACAATATATTTAAAACAGCATACACAGAGCAAATTAAACTTGGATGGCATGGTTAAAATAAAAAATAAATGTATTTACAATATTGCATAAGTAATGTAACACAAACTTCCATTGCAAAATCAATCACATCAAAATAAAATAAAAAAATATTACAACTCACATATGTTTTAATACCTATAAATCCTTAATTTCTATCCAACATTTTCTTTATAAAAGCCTGTTTAAAATATTAAACTTTTAATTCACTCTAGCTTAAACAGAATCTAAAATGATTTGTTAAGTATTACTGATCACTTAGTCTTTGTCTTAAGTTTCTAGATTTGCCATTTTCAAATTTCCTCTTTTTAAATGTTGGCACCCCTTCTGTCAGGTCTCCAAGGGAGGTGACTGTCTTCTCTTTAAATATCACTGTCGCATCTTCTGGAACCTCTAGCACTGGAGGTGGTAGATTGTCACTCTCTGTACTAGGAAGCTCCAGGTCCACTTTTTCACTGGGAGAAGAGAGGAGAACATAAAAGGCTTAATCTACATGGAGAAAACAACATGGTTTACTGCAAACAGTAACATCCATATTTAATTGTCAAAGCAGCTTTGAGCTCGAAGCAGTCTTCTAGCCAAGATCATCATCACCATGACAGGGATCAAGAAAAAAAAACATGTTCGTTGTTTCTTCTGTGTGGGCTGGTATGAAAAGTGAAAAACTAAGACCTCATTCTCTACAGAGCTTATACAATGGCCCAAGCACTCATCACGTAAATAGTTCTGTAAAAGACAACATGTATAAATCTAAGAATGTTGAAAGACAGTAGTCACCGAGTAATTAGTAAAGGTTCACTGCCGAAATACTATTAAGTAGTTTTCTGCAGGTGTCTATCCTTGAGGGTTTGCCTGACAGAACAGAGAACAGACTTACAAAATGAGCCAATGACCCCAAGTTGGGAGAAGCAGCTCTGGAGGACAGGATCACAGCTAATACTGATCTGAACAAATCAAAGACATCGTCTAAAAATGACCAATTGGTTTTAGAAGGCCAACAGCAAAACACTGTATTCTATAAGAATAACCTGTGGCACAAACATACAATGGAAAACAACTGAACAGTTTGCAGAAAATGATCTAATCGCTAGTCCATCAGCGTAACACTACTGCAAAGAGATACACACTGTATTCCTGGCCAATCCATACAAGAAATCTTTCAGTACGACTGTCAGTTTGATGTCAGCTCGTGTACTATACCTAGTTTCAGGTCCTGTGCTTCAAGGAAGACATGGATCGGCTCAAGCACCCAGAAAAGAGCCATGAGAATGACTCCAAGTCAAGAAAATTCAACTGTTGCATTTACTAAAATGTAAACTTCCTGGAAGTGGTTGGCACTGTGCCTAGTCTCAGTTTAAAGTAAATAATGAACAACTGCATTTGTCTCATTTACAAACTGCATTTGTCTCATTTACATGTGTGTACATATATCAAGCCTATGTGTTAATGTACAGACTGATATATATAGTTCAGTAGCTGAATGCACTTTTTATTGGACAGTGCTTTCCAAAAACCTGAAAGAATTTATCAGCTCTGGAGCCAAGGAGCGGTTAGCTGTTCCAATAAGGGAGGTGTTATGTGAACTGATCAAGTGACATTATCATCTCCAAGGAAGTGGATCAGTGCTTAATTTAGTTCAAACAGTGTCAAAACTGTATCTGCTGAATAATTTAGAACTAAAATGCTGGAGAATGGGGCGAGTATGAGGGAAAAGACTGATTTCATTCTTCCAAACCTGTATTTCCAGACTCCTGCAGGGCTCTGTAGCAAGTAACTGGCCATAAAAGACAGCACGCTTCAGAAGAAAATGAGCCATCTCAGCCATTATGCAGTAAAACAAAACAAAACAAACCCCTCCTGATCAGATGCATGTCATGAAAACATCTGCAGTACACCAGCTGGACATGGGAGAGAGAGACAGCTTCCAGATTTAAAACTGGTATAACTAGATTACACGTTTTGTCTTTCATCTCCTTATTTAAATCATTACAGAAAGCGTCTCCCACCACATTGTAAGAGCCTCCAGGACTTACCCATAGCGACAGCAGAAAAGGTTGTAGTGGATTTTGGTTTGGTTTGGTTTTGCTTAACTTTGTTTTGAAATGAGGGAGATTAGGGAACAAGAAAAACAGTTCGACCAGATGTCTTTTACTGCAACACTGGGTGAAAGTAAGACAAAAAATTTGACGTGTCTTCTAGGCTGTGTCCTTCAAGTGAACAGTTAAGAGTCAGTACAGCACCACAAAATGAGAAACAATTCACTGCTTGTGGAAGTAACTCAGCCAAACATACCGGGCTTAGGTAGAAATTGCTTGGAGTCTAAAAAAGCATACTCATTATGTCAGCAACTACTGATCCCACAGGGAAGGAATTCAAAGCAATGCTAACACAGTACGATCTAGGTCAGGTGGCTGCTGGCCCTAGAAGTTCAAGATAGATCTTGAACTCCAGGCAGAGTTAGCCCAACTAATTACTCGTCAGAAAGAAACAGAATTTATCCTGGAAGCTAGAGGCCCTGAGAAAGCTGCCTATGCTGTTCCAAGGCTGGAAACAGTTGAAATAACAGTCACAAGAGCTCCTGAGGCAGCTGAACCAGATTGTTGAAGGAGACATAAGCTTAGAGTAACTATGTTTAAATAGTTGATACTCTGAGATAGCCTCTGAGAAAAATGATGGATGACAATGATCCTTCAAATCACCTTAATTTACTTTGTACTCATGGTGAACTTCTATACTAAAGCCAAAACACCACCACTATCTAACATGGAGAGCTATTACTTAAAATACTCACTGGGGAAGGAATTTAATTTGGACTACGTTTCCAATCACTGCTGTGCTAATTCTGCCAGAATTCAGAAGAAAAAGCTTCAGCTCTGAAAACAAGTATTCTGGAAACAAATATTATGAAAATAACTACAGTAAAAAGATCCTCACCATGGTTCTTCTTCTTCTTCTTCTTCTTCTTCCTTAATTGCTTTCCATTTTCCATAAGGGTTGGTCTTGTTAGGTGCATCACTGGAGGATTCTTGGGAAGCTGAGGTACTCTCCTCTTTATCAACAGTTTCTTCGGGCTTAACTTCTCGCCATTTCCCATAAGGACTTAACTTTTTAGCTTTGGCAGATTTTTTCCCTTCCTCTGATTCTTCACCATTATCTCCTTTCCTCTAAAGAGGAAAAAACCCACCTTAAGCAAAAATGCCTAAATAAAAACACAATGTAGCTTTATTTTACATGTTTTATTTACTATTGTCTACTATTCCTACTTTTCAACCAAGAGTAACTTGAAACAATAAACTCAAACTGTAATGAAATCTTTACATTTCTCTCCTTGAGCTTTCATCACATACAGAGTTGAAAAAAAATCTTAAATGTTACAAAAAGTTGAAGTAGGAAAATGCCATCTATCAAGGCTGAAGTTGGCAAGGAGTAGCCAGTACAAACTTACTTAAAAACAAAGCTTAGCATGTTAAAAAAAAAAAAGGCAAAAATTCTCATACAGCTTTGTGTGCGTGCAGATACACACACTTTACAGCTAATACCTACTAGTAGTTTATAATGATGCAGAGTGATACAAGAATATATATTTTACAATTAACACCTGTCTATGAACACATTTTGTATTTAAACTGTCTCTGCCTGTTCTGAACTACCAGTTTCAGAAAAAACATCTGAGCAAACCAGAGCCATAATCACACCCTTTATCTTAAGTTTTAAACCTGAAGACAAAAATACGTAATTGATACAGGTTTTGTACTATGCGTTGCCAATGTTCTTCTCAATTAATAAGGAAACTACAATCATGTCACTTTTCAGTCAAAAGGCATTGCTTGAAGGTCTCTTGGCAGTCCCATTTACCAATGAAGGTTAGAAACTCACACTGAAACCCAAATCATTTTGTGGATTATTTCAGAGAAATGACAGTGACCTTTCTCAGAGAACATCACATTTCTTGCAGAATTCAATCTACTTCTGGTGGGCTGAAGGAAAGATCATGCTTTCTTTCTGGAACAGTGCCACAAATGGGTCAAATAATTGAATAAAGATTAATTTTGCTATTCAAGTGCAAACTTCTACTTTCAGTCATACGGTTTAACCTCGTTACAATGAGTACAGCCTATCACAAGAGATAAAGATAAATAATCCTATGCTAGAAAATTAATAGTATATGTAAAATAAACCTAGAGAGAGAACTTACCTTGGACTTTGTTTCTGAACCCTGGGCTTCTTTTTCACTATCTTCTGAGTCTGATTCAGATGCTTTGGAATCTGTTTCTGAAAGCTCTTCAGAATGCTTGTCACGTTGACTCTTCTCATTTGACGATGACACAAAACCATCCGGTTTCTCCCATGTGGATACTGTCCAAAATATTTGAATAACCACATTATTTATGTTTCTAATTCTGATCTGTTATTGCTTTGACAACATTACCTTTCAGAAGCAGTGCTGCCTTATGCAAAAATACAGCAAATAATTTAGCACAAGGCTTTTGCCTTTGTTCGGTATGTTTGTTTTAATAAACATAATCAGAAAGGTAACATTTCACTTCTCAGCAGAGATGCTGTCATGACAGCTGAGTTCACTGTTGATAAAGCTTGTTGTAATTAGCACTTAAGAAAAATATCACGCACAGCGAACTGCGGTCCACAAGACTGTGGTCCCTCTCATCCTAACACAGGACAGACAAATTGCCCTCTCCAGAGGTGCCTATTTGATTTGAGTTGTCCATTCATTACAATGACAGGATAAGGTAAAGAACAGTAACTGCGAGCCTCAGCTTTCCGGGCAGATAAACTCCTTCCTTGTGCTACTTGGCTCATTAACATTAGGCCTCTAATTAAAGAGCTGTCAAGTAAACAAGGAAATACAAATATTATTCTGAAAAGACATGAAAGTGCCTACAGGATATGGCCTCATTTTCAATGACAAGGTAGTATTCCAGAAAATATATAGAGAGGAAATACTTAAATAAAGGTTGACTCAATGGTCTTAAAACTGCTTTTAGTAACAATAAGGCAAAAGTACACCAACTTTCAATCTATAATTTTATTTAACTTTTAAATGTAATAAAACTACTATTTTTCCAATTATTTTATCTATTTCCAAAGAAATCCCTAACTGAAAACAACATTTAACAGCTATGCTGCTAGATGTATCTTGAAGAAGTAAGGGTGTAAGAAACTGGCAATGAGTGGCTCTGAACGAACAACACAGTCTCTTAACGGTACTGCTGTCATGTAGCTTTAGCCCAGTAACTGAGAAAGTTCACTTTCCTAGGTATCACATACAGCCAGTGGAGTGAGGTGCAGGCTCCCAAAGTGTGAGTCGTAGCAGGAGCTAAGCCTAGAGATACCAGCCTCCTAAGTTACATGCTTCAGATGAGACACTACCATCAGTCCCCTTGGTTAACAATTTGTCTTGTCTTCAGAGGATGGGATTAGCGTTAACAAGTAATTTTCAAGCATTTCCACGATACTTGCAGCTATATAAAAGTAAAGGATTGCTTTTAAAATCTCACAAGCCAAAATTTTACCAAATACGCCGATTACAAAGACATTCTTCATGAGTGTCTTATGTCCATGAAGAACTTTAAAAAACAATACAACCAAAGGCATAAAATGTATCTGAACTTAGAAGGCAATGTTTAAAAATAACCAGTATCTCATTTCCCTTTCAAAAGAAAAAAATTGCAAATCATTTGGGCAGGGGAGTGGCATGCTGAAAAACTGAAAGGTTTTTTTGTTTGTTTGTTTGTTTTTGGTTTTTTTTTCCTATTCTTGGCATCATCAGAACACCGCTTCATACACAACAGCAGAAGGAAAACTCATAGCCAGCATAAAATCACTTACTCTCCAGGGAGGCCATTGACCTTAAAATGACTCAAACAGATTTAGAAACAGATGCCTGTTCTGGGGGAGTTACCACAAAGTTC